GGGGCTCTATAACTACCTCCCCCATTTCCAGATCATTCTGCCACTGGCCAGAGACAAAAATTAGATCCAGTGTGTGTCCTCCCGTGTGAGTGGGGGCATAAACTAATTGGGTCAAGTCCAAGGCCGTCATGGAAGCCAAGAACTCCCGAGCTGCCGCCAACGTTTCGCCCGCCGATGGCAGATTGAAATCCCCCATGACTATAAGTCTGGGGGTCTCAACTGCCACCCCGGCTATTACGTCAGCCAGCTCAGGCAGGGCCGTTGATACATAGCAGGGAGCCAGGTATATAATCAACAGGACCACTTGTACCCCTTGCCCCCACTTCACAAGGAGGGACTTGTGCCTCCTATTCTTGTGTGAAGTCTGAAGCAATCCTCCTGAATCAGTTTTGAAGAGTGTATAGCTCTGGAATATCATAGTTTGAGCTTAATTAATTAAACGGAGGGGAAGAATTTGGGCTTACCTAAATGAGCCACCCTCTGAAGTTTAGGATCAAATCCAACATGCCTGCTTTCCTCTATGTGAGCCAGGAAGAAATTGACTACACTGCTAGTCACAACACAGTTGGGAAAGCCTTCCAAGTGATGATAAAAGCCACTTCTGAGGTGCAAACAGCTGCTATCTTCTCCTTCCTCGTAGAAAATCTTAAATTTATATTCATTTCCATCCACACTGCCTCCAACCTGTAAACCATATAAATTTGTTTTAGACTATTCAGTCTCGCTATCATTGCATACCATTGGGGTTGATGTACACATTCTTAAAGATGCAAAGAACAGAAATACATTTCTGGGCAAACTCTCAGGTCCCTTGCAATTTCAGCAGGGGATATTTCAGTGAATGGCAAATTCTTTACTTTGCCTATCACACCTTGACATTCTCTGGAATAGATAAAGTTTAAAAATCTCACTGTATTGCGCCAACAGACTGAACTATAAGAGGAGTAATGACATGAATGTCCTACCACATCCAAGTTGCTGTTCTCTAATACATCCACAAGTTTCTGGATCTTTGTTTTTTCAGTGAAGATGAAGTCATTTTCCACCCAAAGATAATATTTGGTTGTGACCTGAGATTGCAAGGTTGCTCCCTGCGAACCAGCCCTGATTTAAAAATCCAAAAAAGAGGGTCAGAACATATAGATTGGGAATTAATTCAAATGCTGAGATGCTCCAATATGGAAAGTCAAGAGCCAGTTGAAAAATAATAACAGAAAAATGAAACAGAAAGTTAAGAGTATGAAACAGAATCATTAGGAGAGACCCAATAATAAGAAAGCAACAGATTAACTTCCTCAGTTTACTAAGTTCTGTGCTTCCCTCTCTCCAACTCCAACTCTCCAACTTGTCCTGCTTTGTTTAGTTGACTGAATACTATTTATTTAAGTTATCAATTTATAATTGATAGGCATAAAGTTCAGCTTGTACCATGGGCCATTAAGCTTCTGTCTGCAAGCTAATTTAGAGAAGACCCAGCTGTTACTTTATGAAAAAACCCTTTTTAGAAGTCCTAAAAGAAGCCCCACATAGACAGGTGGTACCTTTCCAAAAGGCATAATGTAATACTGAAGATTTGCCTCTTCAATCTTCTCTGGGTGTTCACTGTCATCTGCCGCAATTATTGTTATATCCGGATAGTATTGTTTTATGCTTTTCAGGAGGATCCGCAGCTTGTGGTAGCGTAAAAATGCTTTTACTGTGATGGTTACCATGTTTCTAATGCTGTTATCTGAGACACAAAGTAGAGAAAATAAAAAAGGGAGATATCTAGTCAACCCTATGGATAACTTCATGAAGTTAGAATTCTCTTTTTGAACCAAAAACCTTGGCTTAATATTGACCAAAGTGCTACAGTTAGTTTTATTTTTTGAACTGTTAGCTGATATTTATTGAGAGATCCCCAACTTAAAGACTATGGAAGGAGAACCTTATAGTACTAATACTAACTCGTCCTCTCATCAGCTTTTTTTTTTTGGGAGGGGGTGAAAGAAGCAGAGCAACTCCCCATTGAAACAAGTAGCCCCATCAGCCATATTAGTGTAGACAGGAATGGGCAGCAGCCAGGACCCATGGTCTTTCCACAGCTGGAAGGTGACCAAGGATGACTAAAGCCCACTAACTGCCAGCATGTATGGACATCAAGAGCTATCTGGAAAAAGAGTGAAGGAGTAAAATGTAAAAATATACAAGAATAAAACTTGAGCGATAAAGGATAAGGTGTAGAGAAATAAGCTGTCAGATACATAGGAATAAGAAATAAGACATATGTTATAGAGTTAGGGATTAAGAATCAGTGAGGGTCGGGTCTGTCACATCCATCTCCCTGAAGCTTTGCACTGGCTCGCCACAGGGCTGTGTGCTCAGTCCCTACCTGTATTCACTGTACACACATGACTGTGTATCATCTGACCCATCCACTGCGATCATTAAGTTCACAGATGATACCACGGTATTGGGTCTTATTAAAGATGGAGACGAAACAGCGTACAGGGGCGAGGTTCAAAAATTATCCTCATGGTGCCTAGAAAACAACTTGCACCTGAATATTGGCAAGACAAAGGAGATGGTGCTAGACTTCCAGAAGAAAAGAGAGGAACCCGCCCCACTTTACATCGGGGGGGCGTGTGGAGAGAGTTTCCTCCTTTAAATTCCTGGGAGTCTACCTCAGCGAAGATCTCACCTGGAAAATCAACACAACCCAGGTGGCCAGAAAGGCCCAAGAGAGACTCCACGTCCTTAGAGTCTTGCGAAAGAACAAAGTGGAACAACAACTGATGACCTTTTTTTACTGGTCCACTATAGAAAGCATCCTCTCACATTGCATTATGGTGTGGTATGTTGGCTTGACAGCTGTGGATAGAAAGACACTACAGAGGGTGATGAGCACAGCACAAAACATCGTGGGCTGTCCCCTGATACCACTACACGCCATCGCTAGGTCCCGCTGCCTTAGAAGAGTGAGAAAAATCCTCAGGGATGACTCACGCCCTGGTCAGCACTTCTTTACTCTCCTACCATCGGGCAGGAGATATAGAAGGATAGCCAGCCACACAAATAGGCTGAAGAACAGTTTCTACCCATGGGCTGTCAGACTCCTGAATGGGAAATAACTCCATGTATGATAGACTTGCGGGGCCGGCGCATCATGCAATAAGTTCACATGGTGCAATAAGATTGTGTGTTTGTTGTCATTGTGGGTTGTGATGGGGGGTGCACGAAGGGAGGCTCAGCCAATCTCATTGTACACATGTTGTACTTTGACAATAAAGAAATATGAATTTGAATTTGTGAATTATATATATATATATATATATATATATATTTATCTCCTGCAAGAAATGGAGATAAAGTTCATGTGTTACGTGTTTGTCTTCTTGATTAAGACTTCCACAAGAAAGCACATTATGAATCTATCTATTTATTTGTTTGATTGATTGATTGATTGATTGATTGATTGATTTCTCTAGCTGCCCATCTCAGGAAATGACTCTGGGTGACTCATAATTCAAAAACATATATTACAATTAAAATCTTAAAAACATTTTAAAACAATAAAAACAGTAAAAACCATTAAAATAAAAAAAAATGATTAAGACATCTAATTCGAGTATATACAAAGCAAGACATCTGGCCTGTTAACAATATAGCCAGGAGGTGGGGCCCTTGGTGCATGTAGTGCCCCAGACTCAAGAGCGTAGCTAGGTTTTTAAACTTTTATAGAAGGGTAGCAGTGTTGGGGCCATTCTCATTTCAGAAGGGAAGATGTTCCACAGAGCTGTAGAAAAAAACTTGTCTTCTAGTCCCCATCAGCTGACATTCTTTTGCTGATGAGATCTGGAGCATGCCCATTCTGTTTGATCTAGTTGGATGGGCAGAAACTCTGGAAAAAAGGTGGTCCCTCAGGTTTGCTAGTTGCATGTATGTCACTCACCTGGCCCTGAGTCAACTAGTTTAGGAAGGCGGAATTGTTGAATGGTCACAGGAAATCTAACAAGATAAGTTCCTTCTGTAAAGTTCACTAGGAAATAATTAAAAGAAAGATGGTTAGTTGGTTGTCAATTTTATGACTATGTTTGGAAATATTTGTCAACTTTCCCTCGCACTCCATATATTACATATGAGAAGGAGAACCACTCCCTTATCTTCCAATATTGATAGTCCTCATCAGAGTAGATGGGAGTTTTTCAACATCTGGAGCAATAAAACTCCCTGACTAACTTTATATTCTGTTTTTCATACATCTCACCACAATCAATAAAAGCAATACAACATTAATCTGTCACGCTCATATGCATGTACATACATGCAAACAAACAAAATGGGCTTCCTGTAGTGCTTTAAAAAACAGAAATGGCACAAGCCACATTGTCCCACTGATCACTGAGAAAGATCAGTGATCACCTTCTGCTTTGATTAGATTTCATTAGAGGAAGGATACATGATGAAAAATCTCCAATAAACAACTAAAGATGCAATGGAGGTCAGTAGTTTACATTTCATCCAAGAAATTTAAACCAATTTTCTTCTTTTCTTCTTTGTGCTTTCTGTTGAGTTGTAGAGCAGATTCTTCAATCTCCTTTGTGTGGCCTCAAAATAGTCAAAATAAGAAATTATTTATAACAAAATGGGACATAGTACTTTAAAGTGTACCAGACCAGACAACTGACAATAAATATATAAGAAGAGACTGGACAGCCATTTGTCTGAAATGGTATAGGGTTTCCTGCCTGAGCAGGGGGTTGGACTAGATGACCTCCAAGGTCCCTTCCAACTTTTTTATTATTATTATTATTATTATTATTATTATTATTATTATTATTATTATTATTATTATTATTATTATTATTATTATTATTATTATTACAAGAAGGGTGCTCAACAGAAAAATAGTTATGTACATTTTGTAGGGATTCGCTCAACCCTGACCTAGATAGGCTGTTTTATGTCAAACAATGAATAAGTCAATAAAACTGTATAGACATACTGTATGTACAGATGTATGGCTATTAAACTTTATGTATCTTTAAAGAAAGATACTTGATATAAAACCAGAGGAACATCCATTCTGACTGGCAATAGAATTGTATCAGTTCATTTAAGAAATACCTGGAACTGAGCCTGGAATCTTTTGAAATTAAAACATGGGCATAACTGCAAAAGCAATCAACATTGTCCTGGTTTCAGGGTAATACAAGTCTTACACTGCACCTCAGTTGCAAATATCCTTTCTGAAAAAGAATGGGGTTTGTCTTCTCAGTTTTTAAAATACATTTTCTCCCAAAGCTTCAAATTTGAAAGATCAAACAATCATTTTTAAAATTTCCAAAATAATGTGGCTTTCTAATGGTTTTGTCAAGGGAGAACAAGTTTTTAGAGGACAAAAAATCACTGTTAACTAAAATATATTATTTTCTTTCTTCACGTCTAGGGCAAATCAAGTCAAAAGTGAAATCCAACAGTGAAGTCCCAATGAAGGACTTGTCTAGTAGGACACATTCTAACTTACTCATGTCCACTACATCTAGTAGGTATTTTGTACTAGTGTATGTAACATGTTTCAGGATGTGATTCAAAAGCTTCACATAGGAAGTAGTGATGATCAGCTCTTTTGTCCCACGTCCTTGGACCACCTCTTCAGAAACATCAGCAAGGGTGTTCAAATTCCCAAAGGATGCCTGTAGAAGCACCTGCAGGGATTTTTATTTTAGAAAAAATATTAGGAGCAAATAAAATTTCATTTTCCAGCTATATCACATCCACCAAAATATTTGTCAATATTTGTGAGCCTGAAATCAGGATCATGAAAAAATTAAAAGTTATCTATGGCAGTTAATTTCCTTCTATTATTATTTTTACGAGGGTGGAAGGATAAGAAATATAAATATTGTCTTTGCAGTGTGTTTTTAGAGTGCTCAGAAGTCATTTCTCCTTCTAAAACTTTCCTTTTCTACAAGAACTTAAAATCAGGAGTTTGACAGTGCCTTTTCTGACTAACAAAGTTTATTATAGGCTTTCTTGAGCTTAACAGATGCATAAAGTGCATCCAATAAACTGAATTGCCACTCACAAATGCTTATACTTTTTAATAAAACTTGTAAGTTGGGAAAAAGGATGCTACAGACTCCCACTGATTTATTGCCACCATAGACTATCACGGCTTTCCTCCTACAATGTCTGCAAAGGCTTAAGAAATTTGATTTGGTTAGAATGTTGCTTTGTGTGAATTAGATGGGTGGAATACTTATTAAGTGTCTCACAACTAAATTTAAATACTTGCAGAAATATTTCTTCTATGGGGCAAGGTTTGGACATCATAAGAATGTGTTAATACACCATCTCTTTCTTCAAGTGCTAATTAATTTCAGAGATACCCCTATAGGTAGTCCTCAATTTATGACTGTCACTTAGCGACCATTCAAAATTACAATGGACACTTGTAACGCAGATTTGAAGTTACAATACTTAATGATAGCGCCATTCATTTAATGACCACAATTGCTGCAGAAAAGGTCATAAAATAGGGTGCAGTCATATGTTGACCCAGTTAATGATTAGCACAATTTGCAACCATAATTTTGGGCTCAGATAAAGTTGTATGTTGAGGACTACCGGTACTCACTTTATCTCTTTGAAGGAAGAAGAGAAACAGATGAAGATTTTTGGTAAATTTGTATTATTCTGTTTATTGGTAGTACAGCCCAATATGCACCTACTCAGAAGAAAGACTAATTGCATTCAGTATGTGTATATATATTTCTCAAAATTTCAGGCACTGGAGCAACTATAATTCTGACCGCTGATATCTTGATCATGATTTTGAACTTCCCTGCCAGCTTCCTACAAGCAAAGTCAATGGGGAAGCCAGGAGGAAGTTGGAAGTTCTTTGCTTACCATGAAGTGTTTTTTTTTTTAAAAAAAAAAATCATGTGGTACTTGCTTAATAACAGTAACCAGGGATTGCCAGAACTGCAGTCACCAGGTATCATGGTCACATGACATCATTCTTTACAATCACATCACTTAGTGATAGAAATTCCAGACCCCATTATTGTAGTTAACAGAAAACTACAGTATCTGTATTACAAGTCATGTGCACCCTCTCACAGGCAGTGGACCTTTGTTTTGTGTGTCTGCATTCTTGTCTGCACTGAAAATTCTTTTCCATCCTCAGCTATATTTACAAGTCTTTAATGCTGAGTCTAGCGAAAATATTGAGTTAAACCATTAGGTGTTCAGAGATCTGTGATTTATTGCCTAGTCCTAATAGGGAGCCTAACAAAGACCATTGTTTTACAAATTTCACAAAGGGACCTGGACCTTGTGCATCTTTGCTTCCAGAGACATAACTATCTTCTGTTCCTGGAAATCTGTTTTTCACAGATGGAGAGCACTTGCATCAACTTTCTGTACCCTGAGCCTTCCAGATGTTTATACCTGTATTTCCCCGAAAAGAAGACCCGATCTTATATTCTTTTGCCTCCAAAAGAGGCACTAGGTCTTATTTTCGCGGGATGTTTTACCTTAGGATCACCACGGTCAGGCGTCCCATGCCCAGACACCTGTCGTGCTGTTGCTATACTTCTTCAGTGGCCGCTTGCCATCACTTGCAGCTGGATGCCACGTGGCACATTGTGCCATTGCCGCACTCATGTCAGGAGGCCACATGGTTCTTGATGCCATTGCTGCCTCTTGCGGTAAGAAGCTGTGTGGCGCTTTGGGTCATTTCTGCTGCTCGCAATGGCCCAAAGCACCACACTGTGTCCTGCCGTGAGCAACAGAATGACATGAAGCATCATGCTGCTTCCTGCCGCGAGCAGCAGAAACCGCTCAAAGCACTATGCGGCTTCTTGCCGTGAGTGGTGGCAATGGCATGAAGCACCATGCGGCCACCTGCCACAAGTGATAGCAATGGGTGGAGCACCATGTGACCTCCTGCCGCAAACAGCAGCAATGGCCCAAAGTGCTGTGCAGCCTCCTGCCGCAAGCAGTGGCACTGGCGTGACAAGCCATGTGGTGTCAGGGCGTGGGAGGCCTGGCTGTGGTGGTCCTACTGGTAAGATAACTTGGTGCAGGGTGCATGGGGCAGCTCAACCCTCCACCCCTGCCCTACCTTGATTTTTAGGCATGCACCTTGCCCCAAAAGTAGGGCTTATTTTTGGGATAGGGCTTATATTAGGCCCACCCCAAAAATCAAGCTAGGGTTTATTTTGGGGGTTAGGTCTTACTTTTGGGGAAACACAATATAAATCCCAACAATCCTCAGCAATTCCTGTGCTAGCTGGAGAATTCTTAGAATTGAAATCTATTGGATGCTTAGGTGGGGGAAAGTGGTTTTTATAACCCACTATCATTAGCTGGGAGGAATAGAAGGGATGTACTTTTTCAAAGGCTTTATTTTCCAAACACACCATCATTCTCAAAATATTTCTTACTCATTAGCTGCCATAGAGGAAAGATCCAACCAGCTGCCCTGGGCCATTAGACAACCAGTTTGCATCAAGTAAAAATCAAGCAGTCCTATCAGAGGGCACGGCAAAACCTGGGGCAAAGGTAGAAGATATGCTACATATCTGGGATGTTCTACTGAGGAAGTACCATTGAAATGAAGAAGATAAAATGCAGTTAAAGTAAGATGTATTTTTCAAATATTACAGGAAACATCTTAGGCACAAACACAGTTGGTGAGCTTGGGCCACTCTCTCTTTCAGCCCTAGGAAGAAAGCAATGGCAAACCACTTCCAAAATCTTGCCAAGAAAACTGCTTGCCCAATCACTTGATGAATTGAGAAATAAGAAATTTAAAGAACAAAATGCAATGTATGATGCTGTGCATGGATCTGATGGAAATGAAAATTGATAGATAAGAATAGAAAATACGGAGATGTAGTGACTGATCTTGGTATAAACTAGATTTAGCTATGCTTCAATTTATCTTTCTCTCATGCCTTTCATTTTTTGGTTAACAATTTAATTCCTTTTCTTCACTTTGCCTAATGTTGCTTATCCCGAAAAGAAACAGAGTGAAGGATACTGTATGTATGTACAGTATGTAACTTGACAATATATATTGCCATCATTTTCATTCTCAAGCTAGCTCTTATCATAGCATAGCATAACTACTTCACCAATTATTTCATTTGCACATATAGGTAAGAACATCTTCTCTAGATCCAGAATACTTACATGGCATATAGCAAATATACATTTCAGTTATGCAGAAATATACCCAGAGAGGATAAAACTAGCTGATTTTTTTCATGGCATGGGATTGAAAATAATGTCTGAAGTATTTTGGAGGGAAACTAGCACAGAAAGCCACAAGGCATCTAACATATCTAATATTCCTTCTTCCTACTGTTTTCCCCGCAGTAACAAGTTGGGCTAAGAGACAGCAACTAGCCCAAAGTTACTCAGAAAGTCTCCTAGTTTCTAACTTGATGCCTTAGCCATGACTACACTATAGCTAGAAACTTGAGGGATGTGGAATAGAGATATAGATATATCAATAAATAAAAGCTGGTGTTTATGACTTTATCAAAATAATAAAGGCAGAACAAAAACAAATTGTATTTTAATGCTTTGAATAAGAGGGCATAGTACTTTTATTTATGCTTTGCAAGAATGGAACTCAACAGCCTTGCCAATTACAAAGAATGTGTTCAAGAGGTTCATACATTAATTCTCGAGTCTTCTATTAGAATATGATGCAACTGACCTTTTTCTTTGATTGTAATCTTTTCCCTCTACAATACTTTTGAATTTTTTTGGGTCATATCATGCTGATTAAAATTTAGCTCAAGCAGTTCTGAATATTTTTTCTATATTTCTGCCTCTGACTTTATTATACAATACTGAATTCTAGACACTAGCATAAAGATGTGAAGATCTACTCACCTCCAAAATTTTTGAATTTTCATTCTTAGAAGCTTGTGATTAGTCAAAGGCAGTTAGTTTTATTATTAGCATGTATATCTCTACTCCTTTTACAGGTACATTTAAACATTCATTCTTACATAATAAAATGCCACCTCCCACAACTACGGTATATACATCAATATCCATCAGCCCCACCCAGCCAAGAATAGCAAATCATTTCCTAACAATGATTAGTTCCATCAACCCTTTAGATGTTAAAATCTATAATCAGCTAGTCTCTTCTTTGGTTTATATATTTTAGAGAAATTGTTCTCTTAACTCATGAATGGAAAAGTAGATTTTGAACTAAGCATTTGATTTTTGAGCCTTTGTAAACAATGGCATACCTGGAAAGGTTGCAGAAATTTACAATCTGGTCTATGCACCACTCCATTTCATATGGTTTGATATAGGAAGATTAGTTTTTAACCATAATTTAAAATAGTTGTTTGGTTTTTGAAATGTTTTATAGCTTTGAACCTAGTATCCCAGGTTGCAGAATGGAGGAACAGATTCAGGTACAGTTATAATGAGATCAAATAGTTGTATGGATATTTGAGGGCCCTAAACTTTTCATCTTTGGTTCTGAGTAGGATAATATTTGAAACATCTGCACCATTTGAGAGTGGTGCACAGTTTCAGGGTTTTCTTGAAGGAGGTATGGCAGCTCTGGCTAAGAAAGTTTGGCACAGATTCAAGTTGTACACCATGAATCTGTGCCTCTTCCTGAACAGGAAGGCCATCCAAATAGTAATTCATAGACTTGTCTCAC